TTTTTTTTTTTTTTTTTTGCAGTCATGGGTCTTGAACTCTGGGCCTGGGCACTGTCCTTCAGCTGTTCAACTCAAGATTTGGGCTCTACCACTTGAGCACCACTTCTGGTTTTCTGGTGGTTAACTGGAGATCAGAGTGTCATGGACTTTCCGGCCCAGGATGGCTTTGAACTATGATCGTCAGATCTCAGCCTTCTGAGTACCTAGGATTACTGGCATGAACCACTGGTACCTGGCCTAATATTCTTCTAGAAGCAGTTAACAGAACAATTCCTAGTAGAGTATATATTCTAGTTGAGGAAAGATATAAACCACATAAATATCAAAAGATATAATATGGTATAAGTTGATAAAACATTTATCAATAAATAAAATAAAACAATAAAATAGAAATATTATTTCCTGTTTGCAATAATTACTTACTTGCAATGTTATGGCATTCCCCCTCCCCACCTCCCTCCCGTATTACTAGAGATTGATCCCAGGACATGATACTGCTACCCATGAATGACTCCTTCAGCCCAGACATTAGGTGATAGCCAGAGAAGACTGTGCTGAGAACTTTTAAATAAAGAACCAAAGAAGAAGTGAGCCATGAGTCTATTTATGAGCTGAGTATTTTGTGTGGAAGGAAAAAAAAATATGTGAAGATCTGCTTTGGGAAGCAAATGGTGTTTTATGTGAAGAGTAGGCCCACCATAGATGCAATAGAGAGAACAAGAAGAATAGTAGAGATCAGAAATGAGATGGATATCAAGTACTATAGGACTTCATTTTTGTGTGTGTATGATTATAGCATGACTTAATTTACTTTTTGTTAGTCCTGGGGCTTGCACTCTGGGCCCAGTCACTTTCCCTGACCTTTTGCTCAAGGTTAGTGCTCTTCCACTTGAGCCACAGTTCCACTTCTTGCTTTTTGAGTAGTTTATTGGTGATAAGAGTCTTACAGACTTTGCTGCCTAGGATGGCTTTGAACTGCAATCTGTAGACCTCAGCCTCCTGAGTAGCTAGGATTGTAGGCATAAGCTATCCACACCAGATTAATTTTGAAAATAGACTAAAGGAAAGCACTTGAGTAGCACTTGTTAGTCTAAAAAGCAATAGTAATGGCCTGGATTACACTGGAAGATATGGTCAGAATCCGGACACATTTGGAAGGTAGAGCTAAAAGGGTTAGCACATCTTTGACACTTGGTATGATCTATCAGTGGTGTGAAAGAAGAGACAAAGAGCTACTGAGCACCAGTGGCTCAGGCTTGTAATCCTAAGTACTGAGGAGGCTGAGATCTGAGGATCCTGGTTCAAAGCCAGCACCAGCAGCAAAGTCCATGAAACTCTTACCTCCAATTAGCCATCAAAAGCTGGGCTTAGAGCTATGGCTCAAGTGGTAGAGCACTAACCTTGGACAAAAAAGCTTAAGGTCAGTGCCCAGGTCCTGAATCCAAGCCTCAGGAGGGCACACACACACACACACACACACACATACAGACACACACACACACAAAAAGACTCCAGTCATTTGCTGGGTTGATCTCAGGACATTATGCTGCTAGGCAAGTAAGTGTAGGCCAAACAGCAGAAGGATTTTCCATTACTTTGGAAAGAGAAGAATGTAGGAGGAACTGCTTTGGAGTAGAAGATCAGGATTTTGCATCTGTACATGTTTTAAAGTGCATAGATTTGAAATGCATGTTGGGAGATCCTAGTCTGGTGGCTAATACCACTAATTTTGGTTTGAGGCCAGCCCAGGCAAATGGCTAGAGACACTCATGAGACACTCATATCTCAACTAAATAAATACAAGAATGATGAAATTCAAAGATATTGTGCAGTGCTGAAGATGTGAATGAAGACAGAAAAGGTCCAAGAACCAATTCTTGGGGTACTTTGGTGTTTAATAATTAGCAAACTGAGTGGTGTGGTTCACACCTGTAATCACAGCACTTTGGAGGCAGTGGTAGGAGGATCATGAGTTGAGGCCAGCCTAAGCTACATTAAGAATTCAAGCATATCCTGAGCTACAATAGTGAGACCTGTCTCCAAAAATAAAAATGCAAAACAAACAAGAAAATCCCAACCAACAAACAAACAGACAAAAATGTCTGGGATTTTAAGAATAAAAAAACAAGAACATCCCATGAGGTAGAATGTCTAGGTGTTTTGTAAAATCTCATTTCAACACACATTTAACTCTTCATCAGATATTAAGTCCTATATTTTTATTTCTAGACCTCATTATATCTTACATAACATGTATTCAACACTTGTTCAATTACTAAGTGAATGAGTAAGAGCAAAAGTAGAATGGAATTTTAGACTGTGGTTGAGGAGAATGAATAAATTCATTCAATAGCTTTGGCATATGTAGTCAAAGACACAGTGCCAAAAAGAAATGGCTTTTTTGGCTAAAAGCATAAAGCTATCCCCTGTCTCTTAGTGAAGATAGAAACTGAAAGTTAGTTATAGATACTCAGTATTCTGGGAATTTTGAAAATTAAAATAGTGGTGTCTAAGGACTTTTATTTACATTTAGAAACAACAAATAGAGCCAGCAACCTTAGGAAATAAAATAAATAAATCTCTTCTCAACTCTATGCCACACACAAAGGCCTTGTTCTCTTCTTGCAATCTGTTGGCTTTGTCTTGCCTCTGTCCCTTTACAATTCTTCTGGCCCCAGGCATTTATTTTTATTTTTGTACTGATTTGGGGCTTTAACTGAGGGCCTGGGTGCTGCTCTATAGTTTTTTTTTTTTGCTCAAGGCTAGCAATCTACCACTTGAGCCACAGCTCCACTTCTGTCTTCTTAGTGGAGAATTGGAGATCTGAGGCTCAAGACTTTCCTGCTCAGGCTAACTTTGAACTGTGATCCTCAGTTCTCAGCCTCCTGAGTAGATAGGCTTATAGGATTACAGGTGAATAGCTTTTAAAATTTATTATTTATTTATTCATTTGTTTGTTTAGTTAGTGCTGGCACTGGGGCTTGAACTCAGGGTTGGGGCACTGCCGCTTAGCTTTTTCATTCAGGGCGAGCTCTCTACTACTTAAGCTACAATTCTACTTCTGGCATTTTGGTGGTTAACTGGAGAGTTTCATGGACTTTCCTGTAGGATGGCTTTGAACCATGATCCTTAGATATCAGCTTCCTGAGTACCTAGGATTACAGTTATGAGCCACCTGTGTCTAGCTATGTCCCAGATCTTTGTAAAGATCCCTTTTTTTCCCCCCCTGGGCCTGGGGCTTGAACTTTGGGCCTGGGAGCTGTCACTAAGCTTTTGGGCTCCATTAGTACTCTATCACTTGAGTCACAATTCCACTTCCAGCTTTTTGGTGGTTAATTAGAGATAAGAGTCTTATGGACTTTCCTGCCAGTGCTGGCTTTGAACCATGATCCTCATATCTCAGCTTCCTGAGTAGCTAAGATTACAGCCATGAGCTGCCAGCACCCAGTTTTCCATCTTATTTTTTGAAGTGTCAGATGAAATACCATTTTAGAAAGGTCTTTGAATCCCCAGTCTAAAAAATCCCTACTTTTATCTACAAGTCCCTCTGTATCACAACTCTCTGTACCCTTTCCTCTTGACACTTGTTGTGTGTGAGATCTCTTTGGTCTTTAATAACATTATTTGCTCATCTTTTAGTACAGAAGCTCCTATCTGTAAAGCTCAGTTATTTAGCATAAATCTAGAACAAGGCTTGGTCCCTATTTTTTTTTCATTTTTCCCCTTCTTGCACAATTAGTTTTTACTCATTTATATAGGGTGATTTTTTTTCTGTATTTTCTCCTATTAAGTAAACGAACTAATCCTTGTCATATTGTGGCAAGTAGTTTCCAAGTATATTTATTGATTTTGTCCCTGTTTCTTGGGCAGAAGTTCTAAATTTTTAATCAAATTATCACTATCTCCCACAGTGGTTTGCTTAGTTGAGTAATAGCACCAACCCAACCATCTTCTCTCTCTCTTTTTTCAACCAGGGTGTTTAGAAGTTAATTTACTTAGTAGTATTTATGACATTATGGCAAATGCTCAACTACTTAGCTATGTGAAGCATACCTTTCTCATTTATGAAAAGATATACAATAGTATCAAATCTGTTACAAAGTTGTGAAGATTAAATGAAATTAAGGATAACCCTGCAAGTGAGTGCACCCAATTTAAGAGTTTCTAACTAAGTATGCTTTAGAGCTCCTGTTTCACTATTTATATCCCATGAGTTTTTCTGTCTTATCAAATATTTTAATATTTTAATCCTGGGTTTGGAGTTTGCACGTGATCTCTTTAATAGCTTTTTTTTAATTTAAATTTTATTTAAAGGTGATGGACAGAGGGGTTACAACTACATAAGTCAGTTAACGAGAGCATTTCTTTTTTTGGGGGGGGGTCCCGTGGGGCCTGAACTCTGGGCCTGTGTGCTGTCCCTCAGCTCTTCAGCTCTACCACTTGAGCCACAGCACCACTTCCGGCTTTTTTCTTTTTGCTTATTTGGTGCTGAGGAATCGAACCCAGGGCCTCATGCAAGTGCTCTACCACTGAGCCACTTTCCCAGCCCCAATGAGAGCATTTCTTTTTGAACAGTGAACTGAATACCTTTTAAATAACTTACTGGCCGGTCGCTGGTGGCCCATTCCTGTAATCCTATTTACTCAGAAGGCTGAGAGCTGAGGATCACGGTTTGCAGACAGTCAGGGCAGGAAAGTCTTATCTCCAGTTAACCACCGGAAAACTGGAGGGGGGGGGACTGTGGCTCAAAGTGGTAGAGCAAGCAGAAAAGCCCAGGGACAATGCCGGGGCCCTGAGTTCAAGCCCCCCCCCCCTCCCGCAAACAGCCTACTGACAGGAAGTTGAGTAAAATCACTGGCTAGGTGAACGGTGGGACCGTGTGGGCTGCCGGTGGCAGACCCCGCCTCCTCCCAGCCCTCCCCGCCCCCTCCTCCCGCACCTCCCTTTCCCTACCCTCCGCGGTCCGCGCCCCGCCCTCCCGCCCCCACCCATCTGCCCTTCCAGCTCCCGGTTCCTGTAAACCCCGGGCAGCCCAGGCAACCTTGCGGACTCTACCTTTCCACTACCTTCGCCAGACGTCCCTCCACTGGATTCGCGCGTGAGTGCGGGCCTTCCCCGCTCCGGGGCGGGTGTGCCAGCCCCCCCACCCCGGCCAACCACCAGCTTCTCGCGGGAGGGGGCGCGGAGGGCCGCCGGG